GGTTTTGGAATGGATAATGCAGTACAAAGAGTAGAAAGAAAGGGGTAAACAAATCTCCCTCACCTCCGCTCTCCTGTCTGTCTGTCCTGCTCTGTCTGTCTCTCTCTCTCTCAAAAATAAGCATTTTTTTAAAAATGTCCTATGCATTCTTTTTATTTAAATTTTTTAACATTTTTTTATTTTTGAGAGACAGAGAACACGAGTTGGGGAGGGGCAGAGAGAGAAGGAGACACAGAATCTGAAGCAGGCTCCAGGCTCTGAGCTATCAGTACGGAGCCCGACACAGGGCTCAAACTCACAAACTGTGAGATCATGACCTGAGCCAAAGTCGGACACTCAACTGACTGAGCCACCCAGGTGCCCCATGCATTCTTTTAATTTAATTTCTTTTAATGTTTATTTATTTTAGAGAGAGACAGAGAACGAGCGGGGGAGGGGCAGACAGAGAGGGAGACACAGAATCCACAGCAGGCTCCAAGGTCTGAGCTGTCAGCACAGAGCCCGACTCAGGGCTTAAACCCATGAACCACGAGATCATGACCTGAGCCGAAGTTGGACACTTAATTGACTGAGCCACGCAGGCACCCTTCCATGCATTCTTTATTTAACTTTGTTTCTTTTCACGTATCAAGATATCTTTCAAATTGTTCCATATCGGTGTATGTAGAACTACCCTAATTTTTTAGATAGGTGTGGTATTGCATGGATACCTCAGTTAATGGTTAATTTAGCCCAGCCACAACTGATAGACATTTAGATTGTTTCTGATATGTGTGCTATTACAAATGATGCCTCAGTGAATACTCATACGAAAAAGCTAATTCTCATTTGTGTGAGTATATCTGTTAGATCCTTGAGAGCAGAATGGCTGCGCTGAAGAATACGTACATTTTTATTTTGCTGTGTATTGCGAACCCCGTCTCCACCTTGGGCTGTACCAGTTCACTCTCCCACCAACCATGCAGGAATAATTACACCTGTTTGCCCCAGACCTGGCCAGCAAAACGTGAAACCAAACTGTGCGTGCGCCAGTGTGCCAGGTGAGAAATTGCATCTCCTGGGAAATTTGATTTGCTTCTGGAGGAAGGGATACTTGAGAAGCAATGGAACACCCCAGTCATGAGCGCTGGCTGCTTTTATGCCTCCGCCAGGCCAGACTGCGCGCCTCTGTGAATTAGAAAAAGGCACTCCTCCTCGGGACACTTGACTGCCATCTGCCAGAAGACTGTTGTGATAACCATACGAATCCGGGATGACGAGGCGAAGACACCCCCTGGAGCTGGAGACAAGCTCTACCACAGGCAGCGGCCGGAGCCGCTGGCCTTCTTGAGAGCTCAGTGGTTTCCGGGTAGCAACCAGATTGCCTGCAATTAATGTAGTGGAAGCAGCAGATATGGCACAGGAATTCAAGCTGTCTGACAGCGGAGCAGGAGGGCGTTAGCTTGAGGGGCAGCCAGAATAAATGGAAACTTCATTATCTATGGATTATGCACTTAGAACTCAGGTCCCAGGCAACTCTGATATTAGTAATTTGGCCAGCGGGCTCATTAAGCTCTTAAGAAAAGTGAGTCTAGTTAATGAATTAATACAAGATGACATTTTACACACCGAGCAGAAAGGAGACCAGGCACCACTGAGTTATGTAACATCATAATTTCTCGAGTCAATGCGATTGCCGCTTCTCGCCTGCCAGAGTGGGTAGATCTGGAGAAAGCCTGCTTTCGGAGACATAAATGACACCGTTAAGATGTGCAATCATTTCCCATTCATTTTAAAGCGCTCCCTCTTGTGTTCTTAAAACTTCAAGCGGTTACAAGGAACTTAGTGTTTTAAAATCTCTGAATCCATTTGCTTTCCTGATAAAAAGCCTGCTTTCGTGTTTTAGGAGACATATCGCCCTAAAAAGGAGCTCACTCCATCCTTACCCTCAGTTCTATTCTACCTCCCTCCTTCTTGCTCCCCCAGCCAGAGAGGTACTCTCCCAGCCTCTGCCTCTGGTCCAGAGAAGTTAGTGAGGAAAATGGAAAGAACGTGAACACTCAGAATTTGCATTAGCCAGTTGGGGATGACGACAAGTTCTGGGGGTGGATGGTGGTGAGAGTTGCAGAGCCACGTGAATGTACTTAGTGCCGGTGAACCACACCCTTCAAAAAGGTGAGAATGGCAAACTTTATAAGTTACATATATATTTTACCACAATTAAAAAAAAAAAACTAGCATTAACTGCGGGCAAACACTTACCAGGCACTTTGCATATATATTGAATTTTATCCTCCCAATAACCCAAGGATCTGGCTACTGTTTTCACCCACCACTGCACAGCTTCCATTTTAAACATGGAGGCAGCTGAGGCTCATGGAAGTGCAGTAACTTGTTCAGCAGCAGTTAGAAGTGATGGCCCCAGGGGGCACCTAGGTGGCTCAGTTGGTCAAGTGTCTGACTTCGGCTCAGGTCATGATCTCCAGGTTCATGAGTTGGAGCCCCACATCGGGCTCTGTGCTGACAGCTCAGAGCCTGGAGCCTGCTTCGGATTCTGTGTTTCCCTCTCTCTCTGCCCCTCCCCTGCTCAAGCTCTGTCTCTCTCTCTTTCAAAATTAAATATAAACATTTAAAAAATTTTTAGAAGTGATGGCTCCAGGACTCAACCCCTCAGCTCTGTGCTTGACATCACAGAGTGAAGAAGATATATTATTTTCAGCCTGAGTGCTGAAACATACACACATACAAACCCCCACCCAGCTTTTAGTTCTCTAAACTGACAGAGCAGACAGAACTCTAGCAGCACGCCTGAGGGTCACAGCTAATCAACTCGAGAAGAATCCCAAACTGCCTCCCTCCCTCACCTGTCTGCAGCACACTTCTGCCTGTGGTCTGCGATGTTACTTGCTTCTTTCTGTGTAGTTAATCATTGAAACAGCGACCTACAGGAACATCGTAGCTTCTCGTTCATGTTTGAGTATGACCAGAAAGAAATGAACACAGAGCCTGGAGTTTGAGGGAGAAAATCTTCATGTGTCTCAGATTAGGATTGTTTCGGGGGATCGAGATGTTTATATCAGGAAAGGAGAGAAGGTAGTGTGTTCCCCAGCACGTGGTTGTTTGTTTGTTTTTAATGTTTATTTTTGAGAGAGTGTGGGGGACATAGAATTCAAAGCAGGCTCCAGGATCCAAGCTGTCAGCACAGAGCCTGACACAGGGCTCTAACCCACAAACTATGAGATCATGACCTGAGCCGAAGTCAGATGCTTAACCGACTGTGCACCCCCACCCAGCATGTGGGTTTTTTTGACGGAGATGTACCTGGGTCCTAGGCCTGGACTCCTCTACTTGCATTTTATGTGAACTTAGACAAGCTAAATCACCTCTGAGTCACTTTGCTATCTGGAAGATAGGAATAATAAAATACAAACAACACCTGCCTTACCAGGGTGTGTGAATACATATTTTTTTCCACCGAGCTGAAGGCATTTTATTGAGGGCCTGCCCTGTGCCAGCCCCCATCCTGCACAGTGGGGATGCTGTGGAGAACAGGACAGGTACACACCTAGTAACGAGGGATTGGGATGCTTGGCCCAGCTCCAGGACACAGGGCCGGGGTGGACAGCAGTTGCTGTGTCCACTGCTACTTTCCGTCTATGTTTCTGCTCCCGTGGACCCACCCAAACCTCACTGCTTCAGAGGTCGAACATGCACAGGGAGTGGTCGCCAGATTGGCTCACTTGGGCCGTATTTAGATTATTCTTCAAGCTGGGCCATAACTGTGGTAGTTGTGATTCTTCTTCTGCAGAGACGAGGAGCCCCCAGCTCTCTCCGAGGAGACACCACTCTGGTTTCCAGGGCCAGCCTGGGCCTTGTCTTGTTGTCATATGTGCCCTGCTGGCCAGAAAGCCCCTCACCTGAGAATATGAAGGATGGCTTGTTACACGTTTGCAGAGCGGAGCGTGGGCAACCTGCGGGGGTTAGGACATGCACCAGACTGCTGCTTGAGGGCCTCTGAGGCAGTGTTGCTGACTGCCTGGCGAGTCTGCTTAGGGGGCTGCAGGACGGAGCATTAGGGGCAAGGCTCTCACGTCGGATCACTGGGCTCCGATCACACACCGCTCCTTTCCTCCTGACCCCGTGACCCTTGTGTGGGGACCCAGCCCCTCTGAGATTCCCTTTCCTTATCTGAAAAAGAAAGCAGTTATGGCATCTAATACATGGAATTGCCGTGAGGCAAGCAGATGGAACGAAGCGTGTGTCTGTGTGTCTCGAACACGCACCTCCGTAGCATAGTGTGTCAGCTGTTCCGAGTGCCCGATCCTTATTCATGCATTTCATGCTCCCAACAGCCCAGGGAATCAGTCACTATTACTGTCCCCAGTTTACAGATGAGGAAGTTACAGCACAAAGAGGTTGACCAGTTTCCAAGGGGCACACAGACAGTAAGTTCATTCATTTGTTGAATGAATGAATAAATGAATGAATGAATGAGTGAGTGAGTGAGTTCCAAAGGGCACAGCAGCTGGGACTTGAACCTAGTCTGGCTCCCGAGTGCATGATGCTGGCCTGTGCTATGCTGGCTCTCTCTTAAAAGCTCCGGATAGGACTTAGCGTAAAATAAGCACTTGTAGACACAGGGACCCCGGCCGCACCGACCACTGCTCTCCATAGACCTTGTATTACAAATTCCCAGGGAATTTCCAGCCCCGGGCAACCATTCATCTCTTTTCTGTCTGTACATTTGCCATTCCTGGACATTCCCTGTAAATGGATGCATACAGTGTGTGTGCGTCTGGCTTAATGGTCTTGAGGTTCATCTGTGTCGTCACGCGTATCAGTACTTTTTATGGCCATCCCACCTTTTGTGCACCCTTCACTGGACGTGGGGGGTTCCGCTTTGCGGATGCCGTGAATCGTGCCGCTGTGAACATTTGCACGCCCTTCCTGGGCCTGACTGACGCAGCAGCTGAGCCACATCGGTAACCTCCCCCTCTCTTCTCCCCTCTGGGGCTCCGCAGAACCGGGCAGCGGACAGGTGTTTGTGACCTCAGAGAACCAGCTCGTGTACTACCCCAGCATCACCTACGCCATCATCGGCAGCTCCGTCATCTTCGTGCTGGTGGTGGCCCTGCTGGCCCTGGTCCTGCACCACCAGCGGAAGCGGAACAACCTCATGACGCTGCCGGTGCACCGGCTACAGCACCCCGTGCTGCTCTCCCGCCTGGTGGTGCTGGACCACCCCCACCACTGCAACGTCACCTACAACGTCAACAACGGCATCCAGTACGTGGCCAGCCAGGCCGAGCAGAACGCGTCGGAAGTAGGCTCCCCGCCCTCCTACTCAGAGGCGCTGCTGGACCAAAGGTGCGTGTTGGCCGGCAGGGACGGGGTGTGGGGAGGGGGGAGCTCACCGGTGGGGAATGCGGAACCCGTGCACACACCTGGGGTCCTGGTGCCTGCCAAGAGCCCGCTGCTCAGACACTGCTGCCGCAGTCTGTGACATTTCCTGGGTCCCGGCAAAACAGTACCATCTCATGTTCTCCCCTCTGCAAGCCACTGGGGGAGGTTCTCTGCTTGCCTCCGTTTTACAGATGAGGAAGCTGAGGCTCTGGGATGTTAAGTTATTTGTCCGAGGACATAGAGCTAGGAGCCTGGCCAGCTCAGCCCTGCACCCCCCTAGTAAGGCCACACTGACACACGTCAGGCCACCGATGAGCTACCACAGAACAGTGGCCAGGCCCTACCAGAGGCGGTTCGTACCGTTGAACCAATGAATTCAGTGAATGAGTGAATGAATGAATGAATGAATGAGTTCCTTGTTTGCCTTCATTTATAAAATAAATGGAGTGGGATGGAGCACTCTCAAGCCTTTGTAAAACAATAGGACCCTCATTTCAAATGGAGTGCCCTGGAAAGCCCAACGGAGAAAGTCACATAGCAGAATTCTGTGTCTAGCGGGCGGTGGACCCGCTGACCCTCTCCTCCCTTCTTTGGTGACCTGCCGGGGATCCCAGAGAACCCATTTCGGAAGCTCACTTTGGTTCTGAGGTGCCCGTGCGCTCTCCCCCTGAGCCCAGGACTTCCCGGGTGTGGCAGAGTCATTTTCCAGGTCTTGTTTCCCAGCTGACAGGGCTCCCTCTCCAGTGGCAGCTCTCGTGTTACTTAGTCTTTGTTTCTCCTTCTCATAAAAGGAAAACGTCACTTTAGCGGGCTGTGCTTAAGGACATCGTTGCAAATAAGTGTAAGAGCCTGGGACCTCAGTCCCCGCTCATGACCTCTTTGTTCGGACCATCCAACGTAGAGGAAAGTTTAAATTGCTGAATCTGGAGACGGAACACCTGGGTCTCAATCCCAGAAGTGCTGCTTGCTAGTTATTTGTGGTCCTCTGCAAGTCATTTAATGCCCCCTTGCCTCAGTTTCCTCCCCAGTACAGTGGCCTACCCTAAGTGCTCTTGAGAGCCCTAAATAAGGTAATGAAAGTAAGGCGGGGGGCAGAGAGCCTGACTCACAGTAAGCCTTCAGGAAGAGCTGCAAAACAGACTCTTTGCTGTTGAGTTATTGCACTGCAAGCTAGGTGTCATTACTGTCCCCTTCTGCAGAGGACACTGAGTCATTGAGAAGATACCCTCTCGCCCAAGTCCACACAGCCAAGAAGAGTTGACTTTCAGTAAGAACGCCAAATTCTGTGGGCCATCTGAGGTTCAGTCCTGGACCGCAGGGCCCCTCACTGGTGGAGCGAAGTGTCCCTGGCCAGGCCACCCAGGACAAGGCGAGCGGGTGCATGGGGTCCTCACCCCCAGCCCACTCACAGGATGTGCTTTTTTTTTTTAATGTTTTATTTATTTCTCAGAGAGAGAGAGAGCGAGAGAGCGTGAGCAGGGGAGGGTCAGAGAGAGACGGAAATACAGAATCCGAAACAGGCTCTAGGCTTAGAGGTAGCCGTCAGCACAGAGCCCGACACGGGGCTTGAACCCACGAACTGTGAGATCATGACCTAAGCCGAAGTCGGACGCTCAACCGACTGAGCCACCCAGGAGCCCCTCACAGGATGTGCTTTTGACCCTGCCCATGGGGCACTAGCCAGCCTGAGCACACTCACCTTGTTCCGCTCCCTTCGGCTTGTCGCAGACCAGGGGTCTTCCTAGAGCTTGGAGAGCCTTGCCCCCCCCCACCCCAGGGGACACAGCAGCATCCCTCAGCCTGGGGCGGAAGGTGGGGTGCCCTCCTTGCCTTGGCTCCTAACACATGGTCCTCCCTCTGCTGTCCCCTGCCTCTCCTGCCCGGTCCTGCCTTCTCCCTTGCAGACCCGCGTGGTACGACCTGCCGCCGCCGCCCTACTCCTCCGACACCGAGTCGCTGAACCAAGCGGACCTGCCCCCTTACCGCTCGCGCTCCGGAAGCGCCGGCAGCGCCAGCTCCCAGGCGGCCAGCAGCCTCCTGAGCGCAGAAGACAGCGGCCACGGCCAGGGGCAGCCCGGTCCTCCGGAGGGCGCTGCGGGGCCCAGGGACTCCGCGCCCGGCCAGGGCGCCGCGGAAGTGTAAACCCGGCGCTCCCAAAGTCCGTGTGGGTTAATCTGCTCTGACTTGGTACCATCCTAACAATTTAGCTCACGGGGAGCTCCTCAGGGTGCCTCGAGGAGAGATTCCGGGTGTCAGCTGTCTCTCCGTCCCCTTCCTCTCCCCTCCCCCCACCCCTCCCCAGATTTCAGGGATGTTCTTTAGAAGGAGACCTGGTGTTTTTCTGGCCTCTCAGGTGACACGATATACTGTGCATCTTTTCTGGGAGGGCACGCGTCCTTCGGGGCCCAGGATCGTGAGCGCACTCTCGACATCATTGTGTCACTGGCGGAATGTTGCGGAGTAGGCGGTGTAAGCTTGCAGGCGGACGGAGAAGGTGACAGATCAGCAGTCCTGGGGAAAGCGGCGCTCCTGTGCCCTGTTGGATGTTCAGAAGGGCAGAAGACCCCAGACCGAATTCTCCGTGGCTGCTAGCATGTGGCTCCGTCGGAGGTTTGGGTTGGATGAGCCTCCCAAGAGGCCATCGTGGATGATGGCCCTGGAAGGAATCCAGGCGAGCAGTAAATCCTGCCTCACGCTACCCTGCACGCTGCCCTGGGTTCGCGGCCAGAGGAAACGGCCATGCGTTACGCCCTTCAGCAATCGCCAGTGTCCTTCTAGTTCTCTGAACGACCCCGAAGCCATCTACTTGATAGATTTGGGCTTTAAAGACTTGCCCAAGAGTCCTTGCCTCGAGGGCTCTTCTCTGGCAGCGTCTGTCATCAGCCTCATCCCGGAATAGGCAGGGAGCCTCCGTCATGAGTTTGAGTTCTCAGCTCTTAAAATGCAGCCTGTTGAGAGCCTGGGCCTGCTGTGGCCCACAGTCCTTCTCTGGCTTCTGGACCGTCCCCTTCCCGGAGCCAAGGGATGAGGACCCAACTCGAATTGGCCAAAAATCTGATCTGGTCCTCTGTCCCCGTAAACCACGCCTGGCCGGTCTTGCCCAGCCATGCAGCTTTCAGCGCTAGCTTCCAACATCCCCTTGCCACCCAGAAGTCATTTTACCTGTGCGTTTGGACTTGAGGACACTGTGGTTGGTGACACACATGAGAACATTCAGTACCTCCCACCAGAGCTCCTGGGTCCCTGTGTTGGACACACTCCCCTTCCCGAGGCCCAGATACCAGCATCCTGACCTAGGATTAGGGCTGGGGTTAGTTAGAGTCAGGCTCGGGCTTCTTCTGACTTGCCACAGTTTCTCCTCTAAAAGATGTGGACGGTAGATAATTTGGAGTCAAGATTTGCCATTCGGACTTTTGTTTTGTTTTGTTTTTTAATCTCTTAGAAATGCATTTGAAACAGTGTGTTTGTTTTTTCCCTTCTAGTTAAGGGATTATTTATACGTGTATAGGAGAGCTGTGTCTTTGTTTCGTGTTCTTTTGTTTTCCCTTAGCGAGGTCCAAAGAAAGATACAAAAAGGAGATCACACCTTTGTCCCGCTGAGCCCCGACACCAGGTCACTGCAGGCTGACCTGTGTGCCTGGCGTTTGTGCAGCGTTGCACTTTGAGCTGTTATTTATCGACTTTGTGAAGGTTGCAGAAGGAGGGATGTCTTTCTCCCTCGGTTCAGAGCCTCTGTGTTTCCGCTAGCGTTTTTCTTTCTCTGTGCCTAGCTAGCCGCAGGGCCCGCTCCCTGGAGAAATAGTGGGTAGAAATGTTAGATGCTATTTGGCAAGAAACCACCCCGATGGGGCACAAAACTGGAACCAGGCAGAACCACTCCAGGCAGCTCTCACCCATTCAGGAGTTCTTTCCACAGCGGAAGAAATTTCCCGTAACCTCTTTGATGCTAATTTAAATGGAGCTTGCAGGCGTGGGAGACAAAGTGGCATTTAGTGATCCTGTTCTGTGGACTTGTTTGGATTTTTTTTTTTTTAACCATATCCAAAATATGTCACAGAAAGCTAGCGACTTGATCATTTCTTTCTTTCTCTTTTAAGTTAAGGAAAAGGAGGCTAGTTGCTTCTGTCTTTCATTTTTTAAATAACACATGAGTTATTTTCCGAGTACTCTGATAAAGAAAGAACTTTTTGATGGTAGCCAGAGTGTGTTTCATCTCCTGTGAGTCAGAATGGCTTTACTTCTTCCCCCTTTGATGGGACCGTGCTTCTTTCTGGTATTTTGGAAGTTGTTTAGAAGAAAGGATTCTAATTTTAATTAATTGTGCAGTGAATTAATCTCACTCGCTTTTCCACTTCCAGGCATCTTAGGAAAAACAAATGGTCTTAGTAGATAAGAAAGCCTATTAATGTTGTCGTTTTTTTAAATAACACAGGGACATTTTTATTATAGATTTGATTTTTTTAATGAATCTTTTTAAAAATATACAAATAGAGCACCAAAGCCGCAGGGGATTTTCCTGTCTTCTCCCCTACTCAAAATGGCAAAATAAGTGGCCAGCAATATTTTTTAACTCATTCCATCCAGAATATTTTTTTATGCACTGCCTGAATCTACACCAACCAGAAAACCATCTCAAATGAGAACAGCAAATTCTTTCTATTTTAGCATTAACATTAGCGTCAATGTAATTGATAGCTTACCCCCGATTCAGCTCCCTACTCTGAAATTGACATCTTTTTTAAACACACAACAAAGCGGTTAATAAATAGTGTGCTATGTTCAAAGTTGATGCAAACTGGAAAGTTTGTGTGTGGTTGCTTTTTGTGTTTTGGTTAAGTTTTGGTTTGGGTTTTTGTTTTTGTTTCTCAATTTTTATACTTTTAAATAAACTTGCAGTTTCATTCTTTTTATTGGTGTGAATGGTTCTTAATCCACATTTCTCTTCCATAGCAATATAACAAGTGCATGGTCACTTCTTTTGGCTTCTGTGGTGAATTTATGCCATAATAAAAAGAGAAAAAGGAAGAGAATAGTGATGGGACCTCAAAATGAGATTGATTTAGGATTCCATAGCTCGTGTGACTGACATACAGAAGTGACATCATGGAAACCAGTTAGTATCACGGGCCCATCAGAAGATGGGCATTAATTGCCATCACTGTGGTTCTGTTTGAGGGAAAAGGGCAAGTGACTGACAGCTGTAGGAGTCTGACCACATATTCAAGGGCACACCACAGCTCTGGCACAGGTAGACTGGTCATTAGTTTTGAACCCCAAATGGCTCAGACTGGCCCCACCAATGATGGTGGCATCTTTGTGCTTTTCTAAGTCTTGTTTTGGAGCCCTGTGTTGATTATTGATGCTGCAGGGACAGTCTCCATGGGAAGTCAGGATGCCCAGGAGATCACCACCATCCAGGAACAGAAGTAACCCTGCCCTTGGCCAAGATTGAAATCTATATGGGTTTCTAAACACAGAATGTACGGAACCAAGCTTTAGATCATGTATTGATCCCCAGGTGTCTCAAAAAGAATACTGGGCTATCTGACAGTGGTATCCCAGATATACACCAGGCCATGGCCGGCCCCACATACTCTAGAGTAGACCTTCCCATGCAGTATGCTCCAAAGATTTGTCAGGATATTATCTCCTTCATCTCTCCGAGTACCATTATTTAGGGGTACCAGAGTGAGGAAGTGATCAAGAAGCACTAAAATCTAGAACAAAATTCAGTAAACTTTTATGTAAAGGGCCAGGTACTAAATATTTTCAGCTCTGCATCCATATGGTCTTTGTAGGAGTGACAAGAGCAGCCATAGACAATAAATAAGCAGATGGGACGTGGGTATGTTCTAATAAAACAATTTATGAAAATAGGCAGCTGGCTGGCTTTGGTTCATGGGTCCAAAACTAGAGGCGCTATGGAAAAGAAACAGTATGCTCATGGCCTGGCATGTTAGAACCCTTAAAATGGAACCAATCTCTAAAAAAATAAAATAAAATAAAAAATAAATTAAAGATAGAAGAGTTTATGAAGCAGACAATTCAAGGACCTGTGAAATTAATTTTAATTGACCTTGTAAGCTCTTTTCCAGTGAGTAAGAAAATACAGGATTAAGAGGAGTAGAGGCTTTCCCAATGACGTTGGGTTGAATGCAGAGGTCCTGGTCAAAACATTACTCTCACTAGAGATTCTCTAACATGATCAACTGACACAACCGTCTATCTTTTAGAGAAACGTCCATGAGATGGGGTGCTCTGAGAAGTATTGTCCATATTCTCCACTTAGCTTGCCGCCCTGAGGCAAGGCAGTAGATTCAAAGGGAGAACTATAAAATGGAAGGGGCTATAAACTATAAAATAACAGTGAAGGTTTGATAAGTGCACCCAGCAAGACTCTCAGGGAAAACGTCAGTGAGGAAATATACTGACTTCCTTGACCTCTTACACAGTTAGAGAATATTATGGGTTCACCACTAGTAACCACAAGTGATAGAAATCCAATTCATAGCAAGTTTAATTGTATTATAGTCTTCTTTTAGAAGATCCATTAGTTAATGTAACTAAGTCCAAGGGTGCGGAACTGTTGGTTTCAGGCAGGGCTGGATCTCGTTGCTCAACACCTGTAATTAGGAATTGGTTTCTCCCTCTCAACTTCTGAGCCCTGCTTTGCCCAGCATTGGCATCATGGCTTTACATTAGATAAAAAAGAGGGTCCCAGGTGATCCAAGTTCAAAATCTCAGAAGAAGAGGTCCTGTTTCTCCTAAAGTCCATAGAAATTCCCTTAAATGGAGTTACTATTGGTCATCCTTGATTGGCCATATGGCCACTATCATGGGTGGGAGTCAGTCTCTTGAATTGCAGTCCTGCCAGAATTATACGAAACAGGACAGGGATGATTCCCATATGAAAGGGGCTGGTAATAAAATACCAACATGTCTACTGCGAGACCCACCAAGGAATGGGACCCACAACTGGCTGGCAGAATTTCTAGGACACATAAGAACATGCATATAACTACAAGCTTCAGGCAACATAGGTCTGAAAGGAGCAGAGGTAGGTTTACAGTGAAAATTTCAGGACACAGCAGCCTTTAAACGTAGGGCCAAAGTCAGTTTCAAGCTACAAGTATATTGGCTTGGAGTAGGTGTGCTTTTTGTGAGAGGTTCATCTGAAGTGGGTCCCCAGACCATTGGAAGTACAGAAATGGTGCAAATATCCTAGCAAGACTCCTCAACTTGCATAGGATTTTTAAGTTGTTAGATCAGAGATACGTTCCCATCTTCCACCCTTGTTACGCTACGCAAAGACTTAGACACCACTATACATGCTGTTAACTGGGCTTTCCGAATTAATCCCTTTATCTGCCTCCCTGAGAGTGAGGATGCATCAGTATCTAGAGAACCACAGCTTGGCCATTCTGGGACATCTGGTGTTGCAGGGGCTGAGGGGCTGAATTCCCATCATGGTGGAGGCTGGAAGGCATGACCATGGGAGACTGGGATATGATATTGGAGGAAGCTTGTTTATTTTATCATGACTGATGCTTCACTTGGGTTGGGTTTGGGTCTGTGGGCTGAGCAAGGGTGATTCATGCTAAATTCCAGTACCAGGCGGTTACTGGGCTTCCAAGTTCATCCTGATAAATCATCCCAGCAAGCCCGCAGAGGAAAAGGCACATGAAGAAATCCTATGGACTTTTCACGAAAATGGAGCACACAGCGGCAGCATTTATGGGCCAGGCCTGGAAGTCATCACATCCCTCAGCTCACATCACATTGACCAGAGTCTGCCAGTCAGTCCCACCACCACACCTACCTGTGGAGAGGCTGGGAACGTAGGTTGACTGTGTGTCCTGGAAGAACCGGAAGTGGAATTTGGTGCCAGTTGCCAAATATATGTCTGTACACTTCTTTCTTCCCATAAAATACACTCACCCCTTCCCCAAAGAAGAAACCCAACCAGATTTTGAGTCTGACCAGATTCAGTGTCCAGGATTAGTGAAAATTTCTGTTAGATCCAAATGTGTCCCCCTATTAGGACAATTTCTCAACGCCACATACCTTTTATCATCTGTCTTCTTAGATTGCCTCCCTTCAGCCTAAGTCTCAAAGTGCTTGAATAACTTTTTTTATGTTTATTTATTTATTTTGAGAGAGAGACAGCGTTGAGTGGAAGAGGGACAGAGAGAGAGAGACCCGGAATCCTAAGCAGGCTCCAGGCTCCGAGCTGTCAGCACAGAGCCCGATGTGAGGCTCAAACCCATGAACCACGAGATCATGACCTGAGCCTGAAGTCGGATGCTTAACTGACCAGGCCACCCAGGTGCCCCTCAAAATGCTTGAATAACTTTCAAGTCACTCGGAATAAAAATAAAACTTGTGGTCAGCTGGCACCATCAGCTGCCATTACCTATCTGTCTAACCTCATTTTCCACTACTCTCACTCTGTTCCAGCTGCCTTGGCCCCTTCGCTGGCTCTCGAGCCCACCAGGCACACTCCCAGCTCAAGCCCTTTGCTCTTGCTCTTCCAACCGCCCAAACACCCGCCTCCAGATACCTGGAATATTATTCCCCATCAGAGAACCATCATGACCTTCATCCACTTAGTTGCTTAATCGTGCTGTCTTGGGGACCTCAGCTGTGGCACTTTGAGACTCTAGGAAGAAAGAAATATCAGAGCTCTCTCCTGACCAAAATCTAGTTACCACCCAAATGATTTTGAGAGATTCCTAGACCAAAGCAGTACTTCGGAACTTGGGAAGGGGAATTAGGGAGTGTGTTTGAAAATTGTGGTATAGAAATTTAATTTGGACCAATGCTAATGTTATCCAAGGGCCAACAGGTGAGCCAACTTAAGAAACCCCTTGAAATGAGAAATGCACGGGACTGTGCCGAGGACGCTGCAGAGCAGGACCTCGGGATAGAGGTGGTCTGAGAACACGTGCCCACCGGGGGGGGGGGGCTGCTCTTCCAATGACCCCTGCATGATGTGTGACCTCTTTGGAAAGGAACTTGAACCAGACCCTCAGCTTGGAGCGTGTCCTGGTATATCAGTCTGTGAATCAGCTCAAGGGCACACAGACGCACGTGGAAACTTACTAGGGTCATCATTTCCTGTTTGGAAACGAGGGCATCTTCAGTTCAGAGATGAGGAATTGACATCTAGCTCAAACACGGGAAAGAGTTATAGAGATATTATAGAAAGAAAAAAAGGAGATGGCTTCCTTCTAAGTGAAAAATAAACTACTTAAATAACTCATCCCTCCCATTGGAATCAGTTGCCAGGAAATGACTGAATGTGAGTGTCTTGACCCTACTTGCTGACTCGGCTTAAATCTAGTAAGCGGCTCGTTCATGAAGATGCTGTTTGTGTTTGCCCCGTGCGTGCGTACCAGCTGGGATCAGTCAGGGCCACGGCAAGCATTATAAGAATGCGGAACTAAATATGGAAATGAGGGCTTCCCCTGATGTGGGAAGAGCTGGCCGAATGATGGCCTGAAAGGCCACCAGACATGTTGCTAACAACCCCAGCCTCATCCAGGGACAGATGCAGAAACCAGACCCTGCAAGACAGGCCAAGAAGGCGCCACATTGACCCCAAAATAGCCCTGCAACGAGTGAGCTCACAGAAGGACTGTAAAGCCATGTGTCTGATCATCCCAAACCCCCAAGAACAGTGATTCTGCTGTACTTCTGCCTTTCACACCTTCCATGAGCTCCTTTTGATGACACATTCACCCTGGAACCGTTCAGGGAAGGGGATTCTGGGAAGCCTCCCCAGCCTTAGGTGAGAATGGAGTCAATGAGCACTCAGCCCACAGGTGGGGACCAGGAGGTCGGGCCGTGCA